TGCTAGCTCTGTAAACAAACAAGCCGGCTGATGAGACGTCACGTCTTTTACTGCGCATGCGTGTCACATCAGTGCTGTGTAGCGTTCACACAGGGGTCTGGTGCAGGTCACATTCAATGTAATGTGAACGTTCACACAAAAAGATCGGATTTTTTCAAAAAATCYGAACTGAGCATTAAGACCTGCAGTATGAACGTAGCCCTAGACTGGCCCAGTAAGAGACATGAAAATGGGGCCATTGATGATCCTCGTTCAGCTGGACTGTGCCTGAAACAATTTATGAAGAAAAATGTCAGAAATGTCTCAGTTTCAGGTGTTTAAAGCTTGTTGTTTCCAACTCATAAAGATTCAAACTATCTGGTCTGAATACACCAGAGATGTAGTAGAGTGCTGTATAAATGTGTGTGCACGGGGAAATGAAACCTGCTGTAAAGTGAAGCCTGGTTGGATAGAAATATAAACACAGTCCATTTGCCATTTTAATAGAATTACTGTTTGTATTCTTATTCTTTTTTATTTAAAATCCAATAGTTCCTCTTAAAGCCCATACATTGGAGGCAGATTGATGTCCTGATCCTGGTTGTTCCTTTCTGTCACTGATGTGCTGCTCAACAACATGAAGATTCAACACAATCTGCTGGACTCTGTAGATAGAGAACAGTTGCTAATTTGCATCTTATGACGTCTGTGAATGTTTTTGTAAAGTTTTCTGAGATTCCTTTAAATTTATGACTTAATTACAGTATATACATAACTAAAATTAATTTAACTGAATAACCTACTGGGATTGGATAAGACTTAAAGTGCCTGTGCCATGCATATCCATGAAATACAACAAGGCAAAGAAAATATATTTATATTTAAGAAACTTGGCATAATACACATGATTTGACCCAATTAAGTCACATAATTGGTATATTTTCTTTTGAATTTGGCTCAGCTAAAATGAAACAGGAAGTGACATCGATGTGGAACTCTTTGAGAAAGAAAACTCCCTGGTTTTTGTTTATTGCAACAATATTATTTGAACTATGACTCTTTCTCATCTCTCTATGATAGTGATTAAAATAATCTGAAGAAACGTCAGATTTTTCTCTACAGTCTGTGTTAGCCATTTTAGCAATGTTTTGTTTACATTCAGACATTCCCCTTTGACATCACTTCCTGTTTCTTCACATGTGAATATCTCAACAACTGTTCATCTCAGTGACATGAAATCTTTTTTACAATATGTTATCAGTGTTATCTTTCCAAAATTATATGAATATTTATTATAAAAACTTGATGTCACAGGCCCTTTAAGTGGCATTCTGATCCAGACCATGGTCCTTTGTTTTGTTCTGTGGTGTTTCTCAGGMTTTTTTTTTATTTATTTAGCTGATTTTCTCAGGTAGTAAAGTTACTGATTGGTCTGTTTAGGATAATGTGGTTTTCACCCCTGAAACATTGTCTTCAGTTTGCTCTGGGTGGAAAGGTTCTGTTGATCTATCTGGAGGGTCCAGCAGCTCCTGAACATCTGCAGTCTCTCTGAATTTTGTTCACCTCGAGAAGCTCGTTCTGGAACAACTACGCCCCACTTTCAGCCACACCTGGATCCCCTTCAGTTTGGCTCTCAGCCCCGGAACAGAGGACGCCATCATCTTTCTGCTGATCCGAGTCTATTCCCACCTGGACCAGCCAGCCAGTACTGTGAGAGACATGTTCTTCGACTTCTCCAGCYCCTTCAGCACAATCCGGCCTGCTCTCCTGGGGGACAAGCTGAGGGGGATGCAAGTGGATGCCCCTCTTGTGTCCTGGATCATGGACTACCTGACTGTCAGACCACAGTATGTACGACTACAGAATTGTGTGTCTGACAGACTGGTCAGCAACATCGGAGCTCCACAAGGAACTTTTCTTTCTCTATTCCTCTTCACACTTTACACCACAGACTTCAACTACAGCACAGCGACCTGCCATCTTCAGCAGTTTTCTGATGACTCAGCAGTAGTTGTTTGTATCAGCAGGGGTGATGAGGAAGAGCACAGAGCGATGGTTAAGGACTTTGTCTCATGGTGCCAGCAGAACCACCTACAGCTCAATGTAACAAAGAGCTGGTGGTGGACCTGAGGAGGAACACTGCACCAGTGACCTCTGTGTCCATTGGAGGGGTCCGCGTGGACATAGTGGAAGACTATAAAAACTGTATTTGGGGGTACATATTGACAAAAACTGAACTGGGTCAAAAACAAAGACGCCGTCTACAGAAAGGGCCAAAGTCGTCTCTACTTTCTGAGACCTCTGAGGTCCTTTAACATCTCCCAGACGATGCTGAGGATCTTCTATGAGTCTGTGGTGGAGAGTGCCATCCTCTATGCTGAGGCAGCAGACTGAGGGGGGCAGACGCCAACAGACTCAACAAGCTGATCACAGAAGCACATTCAGTGCCAGACTCATTGCACCTAAATGCACCACTGAGRGCCACWGGAGGTCGTTCCTACCAGTGGCATTCAAACTCTATAACTCCGCCCGAAACATGTGAAACCATAAGTCATCTGTCACTWTAATACATCTGTGCTCTTTATTTAGCTACGACACCTTAATCTAACATGTGCAATATCAATATTCATCACCTTTTCTCACTGTTGTTATTTCTATTTACACTGTATAGCCGCTAAAGCAGGGGTCACCAACCTTTTTGAGACCGAGGGATACTTTGGGAGTACCGAGTAACATGAAGGGCTACATAAATTTACACCACTCACCTTTAATTATAATAATAATAAATTAATACATGTAAATATTTGACTCCCTGATTGCATCTTAATGTTAAAGACTCCTCATGATAATCATAATTTACTGTGCTAGATATTAATACTAATAATTTATCATAATAAGTAATTTAAACTTTGTGCAGCAGCAGGGGGATCTGATTCCAGAGTTCCCAGTTTGAAACCATTTTGGATCTCTTCAGTGTGACTGGAGTGTGAATAGTTGTTTGTGTTTTTGTGTCTCTGTGATGGTCTGAAACCTGAGACCCAGATTAGGACCAAGAAGGACATAATGGATAGATCCTTATTTTATAGTAGAAAACATATTTAAACATAAAACATTTTAATTTAATCTCAATTAATAACATTTATAATTTTGTGTAGTTTGTAAATATAAAAAAATGAAATAATAATATTTGACAGCTTTTAGGAATGAAAACATTTGTAACATTTATTTAAAATACACCAGTTTAAAAAACAAAACCAAAAAAAACAGGTGTAGCCTATTTCTTTAAGAAAATGGTAACTTCTTTACCATTTTTTAAAAGAAACTTTCAGTAAAACAATAAACTCATTCCCTCTGTGCTCATTCCTATGGAAGAGCATTGCATTCACCAAAAAAAAAGGACTGCTGATCTCATAATTACGAGATCGTATCTCATAATTATGAGATCCTGATCTCATAATTACGAGATAAGTTAAAAAGAGTCAGCTGATTTACATTACAGGAAAGGAAACAATGACGGCACCATCACATTTTATATGCTTTTATTTCCTCTAGGGAAATATTGAGTTTACTTAATGTGGATGGTGTTGTATCTATTAATGTGGGTTTATTGATCAGTCCAACTGCACATCGGTTAAAATGTTCTGTTCAATTCAGCTTCAGCTCAAACATAACACCGTCATTTAGCTGGTAGTGGTGCTTCCAGTTTCAGCAAATGGATATTTCAAAATAAAAGTCAGATTCAATACAGTCTGAACAAAACATCACAGAGCTGGTATGATGCTGTATGGATGATAGTATGTCGACATTACGCAGGTATCTTCCTTGTTGTTCAAGTGAAAAGCCCAGTCTGACATACTGGAAGTCGCTCTCTTCCTGCAGTACAGGATGCCARGGCTATAGTYTAGTTAATGCCTCTGAAATGCTTAAATTACYTCCTGTATGTACACAAAGAGCACACACTTCCTCCACTTTCAACCCTGGGTCACAACTTTATTAAACTCTGGTGAATTAGCATTACACAGCTCGTTCTGGGCACTCGTGTGTTCGACATTACACACGTCCAGGACCGTTACCTGCTCAAAATCCACAGGAGATCAGGACCTCGTAATTATGAGATCTTTTCTTGTAATTGTGAGATAATATCTTATAATTATGTCATCTTATCTCATAATTATGACATCCTGATCTCGTAATTGTGAGATCAGGAGTCAAATATTTTTGTACTAGGTGAATGCAATGCTTTTCTGTACATTCCTACCAACTCTTGTAGATACAAAATATCAGCTACTGTGACTGCTGGAAATGGGCACCAGTGACCCACGCAACCCTGAAAAGGAATAAGCGTGTACAGAAAATGGATGGATGGATGGATAATATAAAAAAACAAGTACAGAATAAAATTTCTCCCCATCGTGAAAATTTGTTCTACGTTTTAATGCTTGTTTCCTCTCTACTCAGAGGTAAACAAGCTGAATATCTGTGGTGTAAATGTTAATTTTCCAAAGGGTGGGGGCTGGGGGTGGAGTTCAGTGTGTGTCTGTGTGTAGCTGCAGTCTACAGGACAGAGAGGGACTCGCAGAGAGACACAGGAGAGAATTTCTTGAGTTTGTTGAGTTGACGGGTTTAACGGGAGATGTGGCTTTAACAGCAGCTGTTTGGAAAGTGTTTTGTTAATAATAGCTCAAAAGAGCACATGGGTGACTTTTGGTTCCTTTTTAAATTTTATTTTTTATTTTTTGCATTTAGAGCACTGCTTCTATGATCAGTCGATCAGTGCTATTTTTAGAATGTGTCCTGCGGCACTGTATTGGTGACCCCTATTAAAAAATGCTCATTGTTCTGTGTGTTCATTTGGTTCTCCAGAGTTTTTATACTTATTTCTTCCTTGTGTGCTTTAATATTCCTTCCTTTATACTTTATTTCTAATGCTTACTTGAATGGTTGCAGCTGTAATAATTGCTATTTCTCCCGGAGATCATTAAAGGATTCTGATTCTGACCTAATCCTTGAAAAGGAGCAGAGGATTGTTTTTATTAACTGAATCTTTGCATTTGTGAAAACATTGTGACTAGAACACAGTCTTGTGTTGTGTCTCTCCACAGTATTTGGCTTTCAGCTGTGGCCTTGTGAGAGGAGCTCTGTCCAACCTGGGGGTCCGTAGTATTGTGACAGCTGAGGTCTCTGTCATGCCTTCATGTAAGACCCTGACAATCTGCACACAGTACAATCTTAGGGTCTAAATATTTAGTACACAATGTAAGACACTTTACTACGGTATAAACACTTGAGATTTTTTTCCGTGAAGTTTTTAACAACCTTTTTTACAACCTTAATTCTAAAAACTTGGAGCTTTGTGTATAATGTAAATAACAATCTAATGCAGTAATTTGCTAATCTCATAAATCTATATTTTATAATGAACCATAGTAAACATATTAAAGGAGACAAATTATGGGTCCTAGAAATGTTTATGGTATGTCTGTGGGCTATCCAGACCATGTTTATTCAATTTAATGCACAAAATAATTCTCAGATAATAAAATTTCCCATTTTCTAGTT